CCCCATCTTAGGATATGGGGAATTTTTGACCACGCGAAACGATACTCGGGAAAATGTATTCACGATTCTCGACTGTGACCCCCCACGACCCGCCAGGGCGCTCTCTCAAACACGAGTGGCCCACCCCTCCGTAGCCAGTTTGACTCAAAGTGGGGCCGATGTCCAAGTCGTGGGTGATTCTGATGCCCAATCCCCATCGACAGCACAACACACACGCCTTGATACCTCGTTTCAGCCGATACCGAAGAACATTGTGGGCGCCTCCCCGGGCGCCTCGATGTCCCGAGACGCGCCCTTCATGGCAAGGGCACGTGCGCCTCGTGATGTGCCCACGCACGGCGATTGCATCGACCCGCCGTGCTCCCCTTCCAATGTATCAGACAGGAAGGACATGCTGGACGGCGAGGATGCCGGGGACGTTGCGAAGCCTTCCAGCGGAGCGACGTGTCCCATGCAGGCGTAGATATTGAAGCTGGATGTAGCGTTCTCTGTTCAGGAGTCGGGCAGTCTGCGCACGTCCTTGAAGATGAAGGCGACCACCCAGGCGCAGATATTGAAGCTGGGTGTACAGATCTTTGCTGAGGAGTCCGGCAGTCTGCGCACGCCCTTGAACCTTAAGGCGGCCGCCTTTGTCCCGAGTGCGGTGTATGATCAAATGGGTTCGAGCGCCGACCAGCGGACCACTGTAATGATGCGCGATCTGCTCACTACTTTTTCCCGTGCCGAGCTGGTCGATCTGGATAACAGCAAGGGCTTCGAGGAGCAGTTAAATTCTAGACGCTTCGCGAACCCCCACCAGCCCATCCAGAAACGATGTCCAGGCTAGTTGAAGAGATCAGGGAAGTGCGGGAGCAAAGAGTGGGACGGCCGAACCGTGCGAAGGAAGGAGGAGGAGGAGGAGGCTGGATGGATGGATGAGGGAGTGGGGAGAAGGAAGATGAATAGGATGAGGAGGAGGAGGAGAGGAGGAGGAGGAGGAGGAGGAGGAGCAGGAGGAGGAGGAGCAGGAGGAGGAGTAGAACGAGTAGGAGGAGGAAGGAGGAGCAGGAGGAGGAGGAGGGCAAGCAAAAAGGCCAGAGGTCTCTTGAATGCCTCTCGGAGCCTCTTGGGATATCTCTTGTGCGCTTCTTGGAGGCCTCTTGGGACGTCTCGGGGGTCTCTTGGCGGTCCTGAAGGGCTCTTGGGCGTCTAGGGTGCCTCGGGGGGGCCTCTTGGAAGCCTTTCGGGAGCCTATTGGAGGCCTCTTGGGCGCCTCTTGGGGCCGTCTGGGCGCTTCTTGGGGCCCTGTTGAGGCGCTCTTGGGAGTTGGGGCCATCTTGGAGGACATCGATCAAACCAAGGGGGGGGTCCTCAAGTAGCGTTGCCCCTCGGCAGCCACCAAAGTCGCCTCTTGGGGCGCTCTTGGGTCACTTGGAGCGCTCTTGGGCGCTCTTGGGGCCGTCTTGGGGTTCTCTTGGGCCCCTCTTGGGGCCCTCTTGGGCCATCTTGGAGCCATCTTGAGGCCTCGGATGGCCATCGGAAGCCAAAAGGCGAGAATGCACACATCATAGTTTTTCCTTAGGTTTTGGACGGATTTTGGCTTCTTGGAGGTCTCCTTGGATGTCTCGGATACCTCTTGGAGCCGTCTTGGAACCTTCTTGGTTCCTCTTGGAGCATCTTGCTTGGAAATCATCTTGAGGCATCTCGGGCTATCTTGAGCCATCTTGGAGGTGCTCTCAGAGGCCCTCGTGGAGCCGTCTTGGACGATCTGATCGCTCGCGACCGCCCCTGTCCAGGTCCAGGGGAGGAGTGGGGGGGAGGGGTAAACCCCTCCCCGAAGGGGAAGAAGGGGGTTGGAAGAGGAAACACTCTAGACCCCCTACGCCCTGAAGGGCTGGTGGGATTTCGTGTATTGACTCATCAGCACGCAGTGTGCTTTTGGAAGGTCGTCGTCGGTTTCGCATCGTGGCCAGCATCTAGATGCCGCAATGTGTGTGTGTGTGTGTGTGTGTGTGCGCAGTGAGTTGGGGAGAAGTGCAGGGATTCTGGGCGAATGTAGCGCCATCATGCGCAAGCAGGACGTGCCAGATCACTGCAGGCCCGCTCTTTTTCCATCATGGTCCGCAGCTGTCGGTCCCGCGCACGACCTCGGAATTCGGAGCGATGCTGGAGAGCTCGTCGACCTGTCCAGGGACGGCAGGGGTTCGCGGCTCTTTCGGGCAGTTCGTCCGCTTTTGGGGGGTGACCGGCCGGGCTCCTGGCCGGCCGCCAGCCCCAGCCGGGGAGGGGGCTCCTCCCTGGCCAGCACCAGCCATGGCCAGGTGCCCCCCCATCCCCCCTCCCCTTTCCCCCCCATCCCCCCTCCCGCCCATCCCCCCTCCCCACCCTTCCCCCCGCCCTCCCCCCCGCCCTCCCCCCCTTCCCCCATCCCCATCCCCTTCCCCCCCTTCCCCCCTCCCCCTTCCCCCCATCCCCCTCCCCCTTCCCCCCGCCCTCCCCCCGCCCCCTCCCCCGCCCGACCATGCGGAGCACGCTCGCCGGGGGAGTTTTCCATGTCTTGCCCTTGGTCGCCCACGGGGGCGCACGGGCCACGCAGGCGCTCGCGGGGCGCTCGCCGGGCGCCGAGCGCGCCGCGGCGCTGGCGGAGTGGACATCTTGGGGGCACCTGGCGCCAGAACACCGCGGCCCCCCCCCCCGGGGGTCTCTCCGCGGGCCGATTTTGAGGGAGGGAGGGCCGCGGTTGTCTCAGCTGGCACTCTTCCGACTGGAGACCATCTGGGCCTCTCGGCCGGAAGCTTGGGGGCGCTCGGCGCCAGGGGCACCTTTGGGCGACTCGGCTTCGTTTCACCCCGATTTTGTTACACCCGTTTAAATTCACCGTTTTTAATCCACCCGTTTTTCTTCACCCTGTTATTATCACACGTTTTTGTGAATTTCGTCTGGCTTGCGCATTTCCAGCCGCTTCTTCCGCACTTCAGGGTATCACCCCCCCTCCTTTACCGTCCCCTCCTTCGACAAAGCGGACGCGATCACGCATCGGAGGCCATGCGTCGACAATCTCCCTCCTGCCGGCGGAGGCCGACATGGTACGGCTTTCTTCGTGCTTCCGTCGCGCACACCCGTGTGGGCAGGGGGGGGCTTCCGTTGCACTGCTTGCTTTCGCAGGGTAGGCCTTGGCCGGCCCTGGCACCAGCAGCTGTCTTCGGCTGATTTTGACATTCTTTCCGTCTGCCGTTTCAACATTTGTTGCGGCCTCATCTTCATCTTCCGTCGAGCAGCTGTTGCCATTTTTTAGGCTTCAGGGTTGTAAATCATGAGGAAGTCTCAGGCGAAACGCCCAGCCCGCCCTTTCGACCAGCCGCGGGGTGCGACAGAGAGGAGTTACTAATGAGGAAGAGGTGGAGGAGGAGGAGGGGGAGGAGGAGGAGGAGGAGGAGGAGGAGGAGGAGGAGGAGGAGGAGGAGGAGGAGGAGGAAGGGGAAGAGGAGGAGGAGAGGAGGCGGAGGAGGAGGACGAGGAGGAGGAGGAGAAGGACGAGGAGGAGGAGGAGGAGGAGGAGGAGGAGGAGGAGGAGGAGCAGGAGCAGGAGCAGGAGGAGGAGGAGGAGCAGGAGGAGGAGGAGGAGGAGGAGGAGGAGGAGGAGGACGTGGCCATAGAGCTTGTCGAGATCGATTTTGATGTCGCCCCGTTCGTCATGCCCTGGACCCCATACATATAGGAAGCCATTTGAGGGGCCTTCAGGCACGATGTCGCTCGACAGTATGTGCACGTCGGAATGTCGCCGCCGCCGCTCTCGCTTGCCTTGCTGCTGCCTAGCTCATGTTTCTTCCTCTTGCATCGCCCTGTTGTGGACACCGCGGACACACGATCTTTCAGGGAAATGCCTAGCAGCAGGAGGAGGATACGGGGGCGTCTCCGGCTTCTTTGCCTGCCTGACCACGCAGCGGTATGGCTGAAGACCTGACAGCGCCCTTCTATATTGAGGGTGCTCTTCTGGGCTCGCGTAGTTTGGCAGAGTTTTTTTTGGCCAGGGTCCCAAACCAATATCCCTTAACTGCTGTCTTCCTGTGGTATTCGGGGGTGCCGTGCGTGGGTCTGCTGGCCTCCTGAGCGGGATGCGTAGAATCCGCAGTCGGAACAAAGCCAGTCCCTTGGCCCAGCGCAACGATCTTGGGCGATGCGGCACCGTCCACCCCATCTCGCGCTGGGACAGGCCCCGCCCGCCGGTGTGTGTGTGTGTGTGTGATTTCTGTGATTCTCCGCCCTGTCGCTGCGCGCAGGGCCGCGACGCCAACAAAATGTGATTGTGTGTGTGTGGCTCTCCCTCTCTTTCTCTCTCTCTCTCTCTCTGCTCTGTCTGCTCCTTCTGCTACTGCCTGTGTGGTTGTCCTGCCCCCCTCCTCCTCCTCCCTCGCCTCGGGGACCGGCTGACGCAGAGTCGGCAGCGAGCCGCCCTCGCAGCAGCCCTGCGCGCCACTGACGCCTCAGCGGCAGACGCTGCGCGCGAGCGGGCGCGCCTCGGCCGCGGTCGGGTGCTCTCGCAGGCCTAGAGGTTGACACCAACACCAATATCGGCGGTGTTCCTCCACCGTGGGAAGATGATCCCGATCTCGGTGATGGTGGTCATATTCTGGCGGCCAAGGTGACCGAACTATTAGCACCAACACCGAAATCTAGGATCCTCTCCCCCCTGTGGAGGCAATCCCCTGCGTTGGTGTTGGTGCCCATTTCCAGGCCTCCAGTGCTCCTCCCTCCCGCCTGCTCCCCGCCTGCAGGAGGAGGAGGACGAGGAGGAGGAGGAGGAGGAGGAGGAGGAGGAGGAGGAGGAGGAGGATGAGGAGGAGGAGGGAGGGGGAGGGGGAGGAGGAGGAGAAGGAGGAGGAAGGGAGGAGGAGGAGGGGGAGGAGGAGGAGGAGGAGGTTGAGGAGGAGGAGGAGGAGGAGGGGAGGAGGAGGAGAGGAGGAGGGGAGGAGGAGGAGGAGGAGGAGGAGGAGGGGGAAGGGCTGCTCCCCGCGCGGCAGGAGGCGGCCACCCGCGAGACGGAGCTGCAGGGAAGCTCCGGCAGGCCCTGAAGGCCGGCGGGAGCCGGCGCGCCCGTGCGCCGCTCCTCCTCTCCTCCTTCCTCCCCTCCCTCCTCCTCCTCCTCTCCTCCTCCTCCTCCTCCTCCTCCTCCTCCTCCTCCTCTCCTCCCCCCCTCCTCCCCCCTCCTCCTCCTCCTTCTCCTCCCCCTCCTCCTTCCTTCCTCCCCCTCCTCCTCCTCCTCCTCCTCCTCTCCTCCTCCCTCCTCCTTCCTCCTCCTCCTCCTCCTCCTCCTCCTCCTCCTCTTCCTCATTGGCGCACGACGAACGGGGCGACATCGACATCGATCTCGACAAGCTCTCTGGCTACGCCCTCCTCCTCCTCCTCCTCCTCCTCCTCCTCCTCCTCCTCAACGCTGGTGGAGTTTTTTGCTTCGCCGCGGCTTCCCAGCCTCGGGGCGCTTTCCAGCGGCCGTGCTCGCCGAGGGCGCGCCCCCCACGGGGTGCCCGGATCGGCCCCGGGCGGCCGCCGAAGGGGGACGGTCCGCCCCGCCGCAGTGCTCTGCCGGTTGTGCTGGCGGTCCTTGGCCTGCGCCAGCTGGGGATTGGGGGACGGTCAGGGAGACAGCCGGGCGGGGCTTGGCCCGCTGCCTCGCTTCGGCACGGGCGAAATGGGTACGGAACCCAGCAGCACTTCCTCGTCATCTTGGACAGAGCTTGCTGTCCGCGCCGCCGCCGGCGCTGTCCGTTCGAGACAGAAGGCCGCCCTGCCCAACAGCGGCCGCTGTCGGTTTTGGACACTTTTTGTTGCTGGGCATCGTGCCCAGCTTTGCCGTACCCATCTCGGGCGACCAAATCAATCCTCCGTCTCTCTCTCTCTCTCTCTCTCGCTCTTTGCTGATCTCAGGAGGGAAAAACACACAGACACAATGAATCGTCGATTCCCAGGATAATATGGGAGAATATGGGAAGTGGGGGAGAAGACAGAAACCCAGAACATATGGACAAATATAGGGGAATCCTGTTATTTGTATGTATTTATTTGTGTGTCCCAGGGCCCTTTCATCATCGCCAGCCCTCGGCAGCCGTGCCCCTCGCCAGGGGTGCGGACGAAGGAAAGTGTGGGATTCAGGCGGCTTTGCGGTGTGATCTGAGAGACTCTATAAAAGGGGTCACTGGTGGCTTGCTTGGGGGCTCTTGGAGGTGAGAGGGGGGAGGGGAGGGGGGGAGGGCTGGCCTGCTCTTCCAAACAGCTTCGCATGTGGCCTCCACGCCGCGTGCAGAGGCTGCAGGGCCTCGCGGGTCCGTGGTGGCCTCGGGTCTTGTGTTCTTTGGTCCCGTGGGCCGTGGGATCTGGTAGAGCACAGTACAGCACAGTATGGTTCCAAGAGGAAAAAACGGAATCGACGGCCCAGGGGCTGCGGCCCGCAGGCCGGAGGGGTTCAGCATTATATAGCACGTGCATGTGGTTGGCTTGCGAGCCAGTGCGAGCTCTCACGACCTTTCGTGAAGAGTTAGGCGTCGGCGTTGCTTGTTGGCGAAGCGTTCAGGAGTGCCGTAGATTTTTTAGTGTGGTCCTTTGTGCCGAGTGGTCCTGTTGTTGTCGTTACGCGTTTGGGACTACCCCCCCTCCCGCCCTAAGAGGCCCCCATGAGCCCCCCAAGAGGCCCTGGGGGCCCCCAAGACGCCGCCAAGGAGCCCCAGGAGACTCCCAAGAGGTCCCCAAGAGCCCCCCAAGAGGCCCTAAAGAGGGCTCCAGGGCCGGCGGAATGAGCGAAGCGATTAAGTAAACACACACACACACACACACACTTTTCTCGCTCCGCGCGGATTTCTTGGATCTGCCTCCCCCCCCCCCGGCAGCGCCTCCGGCGCCGCTCCTGGTGCGCTCCGCGCGCCAGGGAGGCGGGTCCAGCGCAGATCCAAGGAGTCTACGCGGACCGTCGAAAATATATATGTTTATGCCGTTTTTCCTTCCTCTGATACGGTGGGGGCGTTGGTTCAGGAATGTGTCTGGGGGGCTTCAGACCCTGGAGGGCTTCTTTTCTGATGATTACCGAGCGCGTTCCACTACTCGCAAAGTGCCTACTCGCGAACGTCCGAAAAACACGTGTCTGCTTTGATGTAACTTATCACAGATTCTCCGCGGGGAATCCAGGCCATCTGCGAGTCGCCACTCTTGCGGGTAGTGGAACGCGCTCGTCTAGATGGGGGCGGCGGCAACATCCACTGCCAGTCCGCGATTGGAGTTCCACTGGCTTTTAGACCCTGGATTCCCTGTCCAAGGCTTCCTGATTCCATGCCCCCACCGTGGTGTCTGATGGGCTCGGCCCTCTGTCGCCCCTCTCCCCCCCTCCGCTCGGATTGCCTGCAGGGCTGGTTCGGGGTTTCGTCGTATACACCGTTGGGTGGTTTCAGCGTTTGCTCGCGCGCATTGTTGATGGTTCAGGGCCGGACTGTGTACGAGGAGGAGGAGGTAGAGAAAGAAACAGGGGAAAACAGGACGCAACACAGGGAGCATAGGAGGAGGAGGAGGAGGAGGAGGAGGAGGAGGAGGAGGAGGAGGAGGAGGAGGAGGAGGAGGAGGAGGAGGAGGAGGAGGAGGAGGAGGAGGGTAAGAAAAAGGATGACATAATGGATAGCCAGCGCGGAGAAATCATGGATCACACCGAAGAAGAGACGGGTTCAATGTCAACGGGAGCGCGCATCTGCAGTAATTGACAGGGAATGGTGGCGTCGGGAGCGTGCATCTGTTGTAATTGTCAAGGGGTTGTTGTCTCGGAAGCGTGCATCTCTTGTAAGTTACAAAGAATTGTGTCCTTGTAAGCGCGCATCTGATGAAATTTCTAAGGGCTTGGTTTCGGGAGTGCGCATTCATTGCAATATACCAGGGATCGTTGCTTCAGGAGAGCGCATCTGTAGCAGTTTGCCAAACAGGTGGTGTCTCCGGGAGCGCGCCTTGGCAGTAATTCTAGACGCTTTGCGTATCTCTGCCTTCCTAGCTTGCTTGGCGTTCGTCTTGTCTTCGCGCGCCCGCGTACCAAAAAGTATGCCCGCCTTAGCTTGCACGGCGTTCGACTCGTCTTCGCGCGCCTGCGTACCAAAAAAGTATCCCCGCCAGCCCGTCCAGATAAGATGCCCAGGCGAGTTGACGACGACGACGACGATGACGACGACGACGACGACGACGACGATGAGTCAACCATAAAGCCTTCGCGGAGGTTTTGCTCCGCGAGCCTTTCGGAAGCTTCTTGGAGGCCTCTCTGAAGGCCTCTTGGAGACATCTTGGGTACATGTTGGAAGTCTCTTGGGACCCTCTTGGGGTCCTCTCGGGGTTCTTCGAGGCGTCTTGGCGCCCTCTCGGGGCGACCTTGGGCCCCATAGTTCAAAGAGGAGGCAGGCTGAAATCGACGCCCCCCTCGGAGGTCGAAGCGATCGCTCTTGGGGCCCTCTTGGGATGCTCTTGGTGCGCTCTGGGGCGCTCTTGGGGCCGTTGTTGGGGGCCTCTTGGGCCCCTCTGGGGGCTCTGTTGGGCCCTCTTGAAGCCTCAGAGGCCCGTCGAAAGCGAAACAGTGAGGGTGCACAATGTTTACATGTTCCGTAGGTTTTGGTCGGGTTTTGGCCTCTTCGGGGGTGTCTTGTACGTCTCGGAGCGCACTTGGAACTGTCTTAGGGCTGCCTTGGAGAATTTTGGGTTGTGTCTGAGGCTAACTAGAGCCATCTTGCAGTATATTGGGTCATCTTGGAGGCCACCATGGGTTATCTCGGGTCCTCTTGGGGCCACGTTGAGCCATCTTGGACGCTCCAATCGGTCGCGGCCCCCCCCCCCCGTCCCAGACCTGGTGGGAGGGGGTAGGGTGGGGGTGTCAAGATGCCCTCCCCGCCCGCAAGGCGTCTCGCTCACTCCCACCCACCCTCCCAACACATAAGTAGCACCTGAGCCGCAGCGGGTTCAGCGGTAGTCTTTGGATGGACAACGACTGGGAGCCAAAGCAGACCAAATGTGCGCAGCGCTGGGGCGAGGTACGCCAGGCGTGCCATGCCGCGCCACGCGCGCCGGGTGCGCCAGGCAACCCCGTGGCCCAAGCGTGCCGGGCGCGCCCTGTGCGGCAAATGCGCCACGTGATCCACGTGCGCCATGTGTGCCGCATGCTCCAGCCGCGCCAGGTGCCCCACGTTCGGGGCACGCGCAGAGTGTGCCAGGTGCGCCTGCGCACGTGGCAGTGCACATCGGGAAACGTGTCGGCCCCCACTACCCTTTTCGAAAGTCAGTGCGCAATCGCGGCGGGGTGGCCATCATAGTGTCTGCTGGGCCTGCACATAGCAGGCAATGTGCCAGCAAGCCTGCCGTCTCAGCCAAAAGCCAATGCATAGTGATCGCGAAGTGCCCGCGCTTGATCCAGATCTTGTCTCGATGTGTATTTCGTATTGTTTTTGGGCAGGGGTGCTGGCCCTGTGCGCAGCAGGCAAGATACGGGCACCTCCGCCGTCCCTGTCACAAAAACAATACAAAGTGCTCGCGCCCCCCCCAGATCATGACCCAAGATCAAGCTACCCCATGCCGCAAGCTGTCTCGTTCACTCCCACCCGCCCTCCCAAACATAGGAAGCATCCGAGCCTGGGGCCTCGATCCTACTGAGTTCGTGAGTCCCGTCGGAAGCACATAGCAGACAATGTGAGGGCACCCTTGCCGTACCTGTCAAAAACCAATGCAAAGTGATCGCGGGGCGCCCGCGCACAGATCAGATTTTGCCGCAATGCGCACTTTGCATTATTTTTGGCAGGGGCCCGGGTTTGTCGCCGGTCGGGTAGGGGAGGGGATGTCAATATGGAACAGTGATCAAGCTCCCAGCGGGATCGCCACAAGCTGCCTCGCTGACTCCCACCCGCCCTCCCACTACATGGGTAACACCTGAATCTCAGCAAAGGCAGGGGCCACAATCGACAGCCGTCGGGAGCCAGTGCAGATGCCAGTCAGGTGCGCGACGCCTGCGAGGTGCGCCGCGCGTGCCAGATGTGCCGCATTGGGCAATGTGTCGACCCCCCCATCATCCTTGTCGAAAA